AACTTTAACATTATAAAAACAGTAAGTTTAAATTAAATAAAGGTGAACGCTGATCGCACCGTATGTACGACCCCCGTCTTGGTTTCCCATGATGCCTCAGCCCGTGGATCGTGTCCAGGAGAGCAGAGGGAAGTCCGTCATCCTCAGAGGTAAATCTGTGTTAAAGCTGCTGCTGTGTCGTTTTCCAGGTGCTCACGTTCAGGAACCGAATTGATGAGTTACAGAAGCAGTAAGTACCGTCGCTGGTGCGTTCACTGACACTGCGTGAATCCCCCCGCTCCCACCCCCGCAGACATTGACTGTCGTAACCATTCAGGACAGTTTATGTCAGTTTATGGCAGAAAACAGCTGCTTAATAGAGACAGAAGATCAGTTTAATGTTTGTACTTTTAACTTTTTTCACTCAAATCTCAGCATTTTCTCATTCGTTTGTATATTTTTATTTTTTTTTTTTTGTTGTCATTTTGTTGAAACAAAAAAGCCATAAACTACGGAAGCCCTTTTATGCCAGTGTGACAAAAACAAAAATGATTCTGTTACTCGTAATAATGAGAACGTTTATCAAAATATTTGTATTTTAAGCATCATTGTTGTTGTGAGAGAATTTTCAGCTTGAAACTTATTCATTTTAAGATAAGCCATTATTTTGAGAAAGTTTCTCATTTTTTGGAGAAAGTTTCTAATTTTTTGAGAAAATCTTTGTCACATTGGCGGTAATTGTCTTCCATAATAAACACATTAACATCATCAGTAAGTGTTCAGGTCCAAACAACGACTTGTCTGGAGGTCAACATGAAGGCAGAGGACCGACCTCAAGGGTCAAACATGTTGTCACCAAAAATACACGAAAGCAGCATTTTGTCATCAGTTTGTTTTCTTATTATAACGAAAATATTAAATTTAACAGGTTGAAACGTAGAAAACTTGACTTTAAACGCCTGAAAATCAAGTTATTTACGTTGGTGAAAATAGTTTTTTTTACTAAATCTGCCGTACACACGTGTTAGCTATTTAAAAAAAAAAGCAAGCTGCTGCTTTCGTCCTTCTTTACGGAGGCTCTGGCGTGTTCATATTGTGAGAAAATAATTGGGGAATTTCGTACAAATGGTTTTGTTAAACCAAGCGAAGATTGTAAAACAACTGGTTTGGTTTAACAAATCTGTGCGCACAGATTTCTACATTTTTTCTACTTCGTGACCCCTGGTGGGTTTTTGTGTCTCATTAATGTAACACCAGATATTACATTTCTTATTAAATGTAAACATATTGGTGTCAGTATGTGAGGAGCCCCCTGCTGTCCTCTGAAAAAGGATGAATATTTACATTATTGTACCAGCTACTGAGCTGCAGACCCAACCGGAGAATGTCGAAAAATATAATAATGACGTAAAATAGGGCATCCTTGTTCGGTGTGAAGCTTCGGGTCTTTCCTCCTCATACTGACCAGTTTACTTCATTGTGTGCGAGCTCCTTTACACCTGTAAGGTATCAGTACGTTAGTGGGACTCAGGTATGTGGAGGTAAGTGACGCATGAGTTTGTGATTGAACACAAACTTTTCACGTTCAGAGACGTTGTTGGTTCGAAATTTTGCTTTTTTTTTTTGCATTTTGCATGAAGAGCGAAAGTTTCTCACAATAAATGTACTTTATGAAATTAAATATTTTATTTGTATTGAATTTATTTTTTAGTAATTATATATTTTTTGCTCCATTAATCGTTCAGTTACTTTTTTTTACTTTTATAATTTGATACACTTTCCAAGAAAACAAAAACAACTCTTATATGTAACAAGACAGAAAAATGAATAATCAATAGTGATTATTTTGAGTTTTGGTAATTAAGAATATTTTCATAGAAGACAGAACCAGTTATAGTTTAGGTTGTTTTCTGTGTTAATTAGCATTTCGTTAGCAAACTTCTGAGATAAAAGTAACCTAAAAAGTTTGGACGTTTTTTTGGACGTTTTCCAAAACAAATGTTAAATGTAACAAGACAGAAAACTGAATAATTAATATTCATTACTTTGAGTTTTGGCAACTGAACGAACATTTTAAGAAGTTTTCTGACGTGTTTTTCTGTATTTTTGTGTGTTTTTTCGCATTACAGCAGCAAGAAGGGAGCCGCCGCTCGCCGCAGAAAGTAGACGGGCTCGCTGCGCCTCTGCTCAGAAACCAAACTGCGATCGTCTCGGACACACGCCTGATGAAACAACGCACACGGTGGCGAAGGTCGTAGCTCAGAAGGAGCCAGTAATGCTGAGGTTAACTTTATCAACCTACGTCCTGATACCAGAAGCCTTTAGCTGCTGTTCAATAGGAATTAAAAAAAAAGAAACTATTAAAACTTGTTCGCCGTCATGCTTCCTCGCCCTCCACTGTTTGGTTCTCGGTATTTTTGTAAATAAAGTGTGACTCTTCAAGCCATGTCTGTAGATCTGTTGTTATTCAGAAAACCAATAAAGTTCAGTATTTTTAGCCGTGTAATTTTAAAGTCGTTTGTTCAACACTGTTTTCTAACCGCAGAGTTGAATTGAACCTTTAACGGTGTAGTCAGCAGGATACGGAGGCTCTGCACATTTCTTTTAATTATTCAATTATTCAAAGTATTGAGGTTAATTTGTCATTTTACGACACCGGGTTACAGTGAAAATATACAAATATTTAAATTACAATATTCTGACTTTTAACATGTTGATTTCCTACCTCAGAAGTTATTACTTAATATCGCATACTTACATTACAAACTTATATTAGTATATTATTATTAGTAAAATATTTATAATTCATTATTCTTAATATTTTTTAATCTGGATTTTTCTTCCTGGCAGAAATGGGCTTCCGTATAATCTATAAAGGTTATTACAAACTCAACCTGAAAATTGTTTAATTACTTTAGATTCTGTGATCATTAAATATTTACTTAAGTATTTTATAATTTTATCTCATAGTATTTTTTTTTAATCTTCCCTTAACTTTATTTCTTCTCTTGGCATAAATAGGCTTCCATATAAACTCTCTAATTACAAGATGATCATTTCAAAAAAACTTTAAATTCTATCTGTGATCATTAAATTTGAATTGTTGAATTAGTATTTAATAATTTTGAATCACCACTTTTTTTTTCTCTTGGCATAAATGGGCTTCCATATATTTAAGAGGTTAAATAAAAAATAAAAAAATATATAAACACAGTTACTTATACATATAAATGTTTACAACCAGAAAGCATGTAGAGTATGTTAGTGGAACTACTGGGTCAATTAATCGTTTTTGGGGTTTTTGGAACTTTAAATTCGGTTTTAAAATCTGATCAGAAAGCTCTTGTTTCATGGACTGATCAATAAGTGATGTCATTATTATTTATTAGATGTCTTTTTAGAGGCTTTGAACCAAATAATCTTCGTAAATATTTTCACCACCTGATTGAGAGAAACAGGAAACAGGTGGTTGTAGATTGTGAACACCTGTGTGTGCGCGGGCGGAGGTCTGTTATAAAGCCTGCAGAGGTCAGTGCGATAGAATCTAAAGAAGCTCTTATTGTTTTATTGGTTGATGAGATGATTTCAGTCGAGATCAGATATGAAAAGTTTAAGATTTTAGATGTTTCAGACACAAATATTTAACCGGATTAGGATGGAAACTTGATGCTTCCTGTATTTACTTTAAAGAGTTTGTGGAGTTAAAATTAGATAAAGTTTATTATTAACTGTATACTTTATCTTTGCTACTGTATCAAGTTGTTCCACCATCATTCTCCCTTTTCTCTTTCCACCGGCAGATATTTTGTTGCGTCACAGAAAAGCTGGTTTTGTTCATATTAGTGAAAATTTCAAAATAAAATGCAGTCGGAGCAAACAGAAGCTTCAGAATAAAAAAGACACCTTATAATTAAAAAAGAGCTCAAACGATGTAAAATGTAAAACAAATACAACTTTTCTGTTTGTATCTGATCTTTTGAATCTCTTTAGTGGGAGTCTGATGTCTTCGTTAACTTAATCAATAATCACACAAATCAATATTTGCTTGTAAAAAAGCCCCCAGATGAAGATATTTGAACTGAAACATTATTGTATATTTAAAGGTGATGTCAGAAATCAATAAATTTGTCTAAAATGTGGCCATAACAGATCAATAATGTTAATTTAATCTAAATTAATTAGTTAAATTTGACACCAAACTTGGGTGGCCGGGCACATTTTAGGGGCAGTTGCCACCCCAGTAGGTCCGGCCCTGCAGCGGCAGATAAATCCACAACGTGGATGCTCAAATGAACATTTTATTTTTTGATTGTTTGTTTGTTTGTTTGTTTGTAGCTTAAACAAACAAACACATAATTTAAAGCCTTTGAGCTAATTTGTGACGTCTGAACCTCGTTGGGTCTTTTTAAAATACGTATAACTCAAACAACAGTAAGTGTGTGCATTTTAAAACTTATAAAGTTGGAGAATATTCAGGATTATATGTGAATATATTCTAATGTATTGTGAAAGAATGAGAAATAAAAACAGAGCAGAAATACCTGCAGTTCTTCAGATCAACCACATGGTGGCGCTGCTGCTCTGAAATAGAAACTGTCACTTGACTGGTTAAATGTTTATTTATTATTCAGGAGTTTAAGTTTTACACAAACACTGTTATGGAGGAAAATAACTCAACTAAACATTTTGAAATAAATATTCAATTAAAATATATAATTAAACATTTTCTTTATTAAAATTAGAGAATGAAAATTAAAAAAAATATTCAGAAGATCAGTTTTATAAAAACAATTCATGATTTATTTTTGAGTTTTCAAAAGATTAATAATAATAATAATAATAAATGTATTAGTTACAAAGCCTATAAAGTTGCTACATATCTAATGTTTAACTAAAATAAACTGTATTGTCATTACTCTGAATAATAACATATAAAATGATTAATAATAAAATAAGTTCTCAGGATATAAATATATATAATAATATATAAATATAAAATAAATAAAAATTCAGAGTCAAAGTTCTTTTGTATAAATAAGCAGATTCATTTATTTAATAAACTGTCACTCAGTTTTCAGATGTATAAATATAAAGTTTAACATTTTCACAACAAACAAAAGCACATACAGACGGAAACATTAAATACATAATCAATACTTTTCAGTTGGAACAAATCGGCTCTTATTTACAGAATATGTACAGAAACAGAAAAATGGTCCAACATTTAGTTATTTGTGTCTGTGGTTGTTTGTTTATCACTTAAATCGTTCTGAAATATCACAGGATTATTGATCTGTGCTTCCTGAGGGAATCGATCAGCCGGGGCTTTTAGGACTTCAGATGGACGAACGTGGAGGAATGTAAATGGATGTTTGTTTGGTTTTTTTTTTTCGGTATTTTTTTGGCCTCCGTCCTTCATCAAATAGAAACCGAGAGGAAGAAAAATCCATCTGAACGACTCAGCTGAGCCTTAAAATATTTCTTTCATAACTTAAAATAAAAAAATACAGCAAGAACTGAACTGAACTCTATTCGTCAGTAAACCTGTTTTTAAAAATGTTGCCCAAAAAAAACTACATTTCCCAGCATTCAAGTGTTTTTTTTTATCTACATCTAAAATTTACTTTTTTTTTAACAGCAAGAAAAAGGGAATCTGGGGGTCAAATACGGAAGGTCGTTCATGCCAGGAAAGTAAATTAAATGTGTGTAAATGTTGGAATGATAAAATCTCATTTTAATTAATTAAAAAGACCAAAATTAGGACTTTAATTGGCTATTTTTTTCTGTCTTTAATCAATTTTTCTGTGACATCTGTATTTACATTCCTTATTTTACAGCTTTTAAATTAAGACTGAATTAAGATTGTTGTTGTTAAAAAATAAAAATAAATAATCTCCAGGCCCACATTGTCGCTTGTTTCCAGAGCTTTCGACTGTATCTGACGGTCTTCATCAGCACGTGGAGTTTCCTTCAGAAACTATAAAATCTATAAAATTTGATATAAAACATTAAACTCCACCCGGTGATGAAGACCGTGTGTAAAGTGGCTGAAAGCTCAGTAAGTAAGTTTGTGGACCTTTTTTTTAAGATGTTTTTGTGGCATGAACGAGCTTCCGTACATGTTTCCAGCTCTTGTGGATCTGTAACAGGATGGTAAAGTCCCAGGTTGTGGGGGGGGGTGTCTATAGGACTTGGTAGATGAGGTTCGGGTCCTGGCTGGTGGTCGAGGAGGGGATCTGGACGGGACCCGGGGCCGCCGCTGCTGCTGCCACCGCCTCACCCACCGGGTCGGTCGGCGGGGAGCTGTCGGCGGCCGGCAGCAGGCTGCTGTTGTCGGTGGAGATTCGCTCCACGATGCTGGACAGACAATCCAGACTGGAGACCAACGAGCTCCGGTCGTTCTTCAGACCGCCTGAATGACACAAAACAAAAAAATATAATTAATTAAAATAATAAACATAAATAGTTTTAATATTTAATACTTAACTATATTTAATATGTTTATAACAGAGGAGATAAAAACATAATTAACACTGAGTTTAAGTAAAGTTTAATTAACTATAATTATATTTAACTATTACTATTCATATAAATATTGATCCTTTTATGCTGCTTAAAAAATATATAAATAGAAACTCATTAATGAGAAAATAAAATGTTTTATTTACAATAAATCCAGTTTTTTAATAATGAGTCAAAAACTTTTTCTCTAAACAGGAAAATAAATTACAGAAACATAAAGTTTTGTTCTGTCATAAAAAGATATAGAATTTAACAATTAATCACACTCATTAACTTATTTAACTTACTAACTAACTATTTCTATAATTATGTCTGAGTTGATGTTTTTAATTAAAAACTGGATTTATTGTAAATAAAATAAATATTTTAATCTCTGGAATTAACTGAAAATATATCTCAGTAAAATGTGCAAAAACTTTTAATATTAATAGAAAAAATAAGTTAAATTTAAAGTAAAATCCACTTTTTTTTCTCCTCCTTGCCAATAATTCAACATTTCTATATAAATTACTTTAAAATACAAAATCTTCTGTTTATATTTAACAAAGTGAGTTTAATAGATTTAATTTTACTGTTTCATTGCTTCAGTCTCCTGCTGACTGGATTTGTTTTACAACCAGGTGAATATTAACGGATATTACCGGATAAAGTCATTAATTATCGATAATTAATAACTTTATCCGGTAATATCCGTTAATATTCGTTAATATTCGTTAATATCCGGTAATATCCGGGCTGGTTTCTCACCTTTTTGAGTCTCGGAGAAATAAGAGCTGTTGTCGTAACTTCCTCTCCGGTTGGACTGACAGGTCGGTCCGTTAAAGTCCTGCAGAGACAAAAAGCATCAGTTTACTGATCAGATCGATCGATTAATAATCAATATATATCAATCAATATAACAGAGAATCTGTGGCAGCAACGTCCGGAAGGTTTAAATTAAAATAACACAAAAAAATCAAACGCAGGAAATAAATTAAACTGTAGAAAAATAAAATGTTTCATTTACAACTGAACTTTTTTTTTATTGTTTATTTTATTTCAGGACATTTTTACTGAAATATTGAAACGAAAATTAAATTATTCCAGAACTAAATTATAAAGTTGGTGAATTTATTTTAGTTCATTAAACTTTTTCATGTTATTTCCTCTTTTCAACCATTTTTACTTATTTTATGTGATTTATTTTTAAAACAAAACATTTTTCCTTTAAAACATTATTTATCGATCACAGAACTGATTAATTATAAACATTATTCACTAATAAATCTGATTTTGGGACAAATGCTGATTTTAAAAAAACTTTACATTTGAACTTGTTTCGTTCCAACACTAAATAATAATCGCAGACTGAAGTTCAGAAACTTTAATAAAGTTTAACCACATAAAGACTGAAGTTAACCCGCGAAAATAAAACGAGAAAATTATAAATTTGAGCCAAAACTTTATTTAAAAAGTTTCCTGCGCTGAATGGAAACTGTTTAAAATCCAGATTTAAACTAGAAACATCTTTAAAGAAGATGTCAACGGACTGAATCTAATAAACGGAACATATAAACACATAAACAATAAATTAAACTCAACGAAAATAAATGTTAAATAGAAAAAAACCTCCAGCTCGTCTGTGCGTAAAGACGCACCGGAGACGCACCGGAGACGCGCTCGGACGGTCTGAACTCACCATCCCGTCGGAGCAGTTGGAGCGGGGGCTGGAGGCGTCGGAGTCCCCGCTGTAGTGCTCCAGCACCGGGTAGAAGCCGTCGTCCTGCCCGCCGCGCAGCAGCGCCTGCAGGGACTCGATGTAGCTGATGGCGTTGCGCAGGATCTCCACTTTGGGCAACCTCTGGTTCGGGTTGGCCGACGTGCACCGCTTCAGGGTCTCGAAGGCGTCGTTGACCTTACTGAGCCGCCTGCGCTCCCGTAGGGTGGCCGCCTTCCTCCGGTCCGCGTTGGTGGTCTTCCTCTTGCAGGCCTTGCAGGCCCACAGCAGGCAGCGGCCCGCCTGGTGGTGCCCGCTGGGGGCGCGGACGTGCTCGTCGTCCTCCGCCTCGGCGCGGTGGTGATGGAGGTGCAGCAGGGATGACGGCGAGGAAGAGGAGGAGGAGGAGGAAGGGGAGGGTGAGACCGAAGAGGAGGAGTCGTCCGGCTTCAGGAGACCCACATGGACCAGCCGCGGGTCCAGGTCCTCGAAGAAGTGCATGTCGCTGGTGTTGAAGCAGGGGTCGTCATAGAAATCATCCGCGGCGGGGATGGGGAAAGAGATATCCGACAGCTCCATGCTTCAGTCCCAAATAAACACCACAGAAGAAGAAAAAAATCCAGTGAGACACACAAGTTTTTACAGGGGAGAAGAAGAAGAAGAAAAAGGAGGAGGAGGAGGAAGAGGAGGAACTCGGGAGCAGGTTGGAGAGTTTTCGGGGGAATGTAGAGTCCTGTTCTGTCCTCTCAGCTGTTGACCTGGAGCATCTTATACCTGGGACACCCGCGGGGGGGCGGGGTCAGGGAGATGATGTCCACTGAGGCTCGACCAATCAGGAGGCAGCTGGGAGGGGTTTACAACTTCACGGTGATTAGTGTACAATTACCCCTAACAGAGCAGTAACAGCGGGGTAATATACTGCTGCACGCCGCGGGGGTCGCACACATGTGGGGCAGTTCAATCATAAATACTGTAAAGACATAAGAACATATTTTAACTTTATTATTATTCTGTTCAAATATAATTAAATGTGATTATGAGGCCGGATAAATGTTTACTGCTGTCAAAAGTTAGTTTTTTTTTTCTCAACTTTATTCAATAAATGTAAAACAATAAAGATTTAAAACGAAACAAAAACTAAAATTAATGTAAGTCATTAAATACAATAAGTTATTTTAACTCACAAACAATTTAAACGGATTTAAAGTAACACAAACTCATTTTTGAGTTAAATTAACTTTATTATATTAGAATAATAATAATAAATAAATAAAGTAAAACAATAAATATAAAAGTCAATCTTATGAATCAGGAAACACAATTTCCAATTTATTTGAACTTTAATTAAAGAAAGAAGCTCAAAAGTATAATTTTTGTGCTTAAAAAAAAGTAGAATTTTCAAAATAAAAGCAAGAAAACACAAAAAAATAAAAGCTTGAGTTCTGTTTAATTCAAGTTCAGCTGCTAGAATATTATAAAAGTCAAATTTGGGTAAAATAATAATTCAAAAGATGCACTTTTGTGTACAGCTGTGACATCTGACCTCCGACCTCCTCGCTTCTGCTCATTAAAAGTTAAATTAGCATAAAAAACTAACTTTTCATGTCTTTACTGAGCCGAACAGCATTTTAAAGAGTTCACTGCATCAAACTGTGAACTCAGAAATCAAGTTGAATGTCGTTGAGTTAACTGATGGAGGGAGAGTCACTGACCTCCGCCCGCAGCTGCACCGACTGCATCCAGACACATTAAAATGCTTAAAGATTATTAATTTCCCCTTAAAACAAGCAGCAGTTTGACGTCGCTGCAGTACACGTGAGCTGCAGCTGGAGGGCGCCGCAGAGCAGATACTGCACCAACCACAGCTGTGGACCTGAGTTTAAGTCTCGCAGGCTGTGGACTAACTACCCATCGACCTCTGCCAGTCTAAAGCGACAGATGGTTAGAAGCTGGACTCTGTGGATGCTTCAAGTGTTTGAGGAAATATTCAAACCCTCTACTCAAAGGATTATCACTCCAAAAATGATTGACAGGTCTTTTAATACAGGACATAACCCGTCGACAACAACTGAACACAAGCTGTTAATGTTTGTGTTTTTACTTATATTATATATTATTGTTGTTGTTGTTGTTGTTGAATGTACATTTACCTGTAATTTAAATGGTCAAAAACTCCTTTTTAAATATGAAACTGCCATAAAACGGTTCTTTAACTTTATTTTTATTATTTCTGGACTTTATAAACATTTAAAACAAAGGTAACTTTATTACATAATACACAACAAACACAAACTTATAACAACAAACATCTGAAAATAAACGTACAACTGTCAAACACCTCGTGGCCTCCGTAGTGAGACTGTCACAATAAAAGTCACAAAACAAAAAATATAAGATTAAATACTGAACACGCGGTGAATAAATAATATAAAATAAAATCACACTCATATGTTTGAATACACGAGTTTACAAACAGAAGACAAAGCGTAGCAGCACACGAACAACGTCTCAACGTCTCAAACAAACATCGTTTTTAATTCATTTAGTTTATAAAGTTTCTAAATCAACTGGTTATTGAACATTAGCGCTTCTTTGGTTTGTTTATATACGTGATAATTAAAAATTACACCGGCTCAGTTTTGTAGAAAAATATGTTCAGAAAAATATAATTTTATTACAAACAAACATTTAATTCACATTAAAGTAGAGTTTAGGGTTTCTGATTTATTTGCTGTTTACAACGGTTAGCATTCGAGCTGTTTTATCTGTCGGCTGCCAGATTTGACGTCCGTGCTGAACTTTGGTTGGATTTTCTTTTCGGTTTGGTGGAGACGTGGTTGGAAGTTTCCCCCTACGTGCAGTCTTCGTGCTAAGCTACTTAAACACACAACCAATAAAATAAACAACAAGGCACTTTGTTAGTTAGCTGCTTCGAATGCTAGGTCATTAGATTAAAGCATCACATGGAGAAAAGCTTTGGAGTTGTTTGAAGTTGCTTCTGTTCTTTTGATGGAGCTTGGCTCAGTGTTTGTGCTAAGCTAGGCTACAAAATGCACCCCGGCTCTCTTTCACGGAGCAAATTTAACTTTTGTTCTCAGACATTTCCAATCTTATTGATCTGATTGATCATCCGGTGAGCTCCTCCTGCAGCTCATTGAGGATGTACTCCCCGAACCCCCCCGTGTGGTCGTTGGTGCAGCCCACCCGCCGGGCGCTGGTGACCAGGTCTCCCAGCAGTTTGAGGCGGTCCACCCGCGGCGTCAGGAAGCGGCTCTTCACGACGCTGGCGGTGTGCGGGTCGCCGTTGGTGCGAGCCAGCTGGTTCAGCTCCACCAGGACGCCGGCCTCCTCCTTCAGCTGGAGCAGCAGCAGCTCCAGAGCCGGTAACACCGCGCAGACCGCCTCGCAACCCGGCTTCTGAAATATTAAAGGAACCGTGAGTGATTTTACAGAGTTTCCTGATGGGCTTGTTGCTAAAAGCAGCTAACTAACGCTCACTGTGACAGTAGCTGCAGTTAGAGTTTGTGCAGCTAATGTTCGCTGAGGCCCGCTTTAACTTCACTCAGACTAATCTGATGTTATTTAGTCTCCATGTTGGATTCGGGGCACTTTGTTTACTTTATTACTTTCCTACAAACAAACAAACAAACAAACAAACAAAAATCCCCAGAAAGAAAGAAAGCCGCGCAGGAATCTCGTCGAGGTTCGCGGCACTTGAGAGACGGATAACGAGGTGTCCCAAACTGCTGCTGACTGGACTCGGGCCTCAGTCCTGAAACGATTTTACACGACTCATAAACCTGAGGCCGGCGGTCGGAGGCCACGCTGCGACACGCCAACGCCACTGCCGCTGTTGCCACTGGCCATCTGGAAACGCCATCAGCGCCGCCGTCCCTCTGCCGCAGCATTAATCTCGCCAATTTTCCGGAACTCATGGCGGGTGGGGAGGGGGGGGAAATGTACACCCTGACCGGCTTTAGGCCAGAGCTGGGGGGCAGGTCTCCAGGGGTTTTAACCTCCCCCCACCACCCCTCCGTCCTACCCCGAACGCCGGGCCCAAATGAAGAGAGAAGAGAAACACAGACGAAGACACCTGCGCTGACAAAGTGAAGGATCGCGCAGTAAAACGAGACTGAAGCTTCTCTGTCTCACAGATAAAGTTCGGATCATAAATTCTGTTTCAAAATGGATCCACAAATCATAGCAGATCACCCGAACCCCCCCCCCCGGGACCCAGGAGGATCCAACAACCCCCCCTCCCTTCCCCCCACCAACTAATGCTAGTGAACCTGACCTCTGACTGACTGCTGCTGTGTGTTAGACTGAAATACTAATACTTATATAACTACATTATCTGACAGCTGGAGTCAGATTTTACTCATAAAACATGTTAATCTTAAAATCTATTATTATATAACTGTTACTAGACACATTAAAATAAATAAAATTGTCATTTTTGTGCAGGAAGTCTTTGCTTTGCTTTAATGTTATATAATGATTTAATGTAGAGTTTGATTAAATGATTAAAATTGACTTTTACATTACATTTACATCTAATCTACATTTAATAAAGTTGGTTAAACTCAATTTTTTGACTTTATATTAATTCCCAACTAAAAAAACAGATAAATATATTCATATTTGTAACATTAAAGTAAAACAACTTTTTTAACATAAAAAACGAAGAGAATAGAAACAAATAACAGTAAAAAGACAGTAAAGTTGTTACCTGGATGTCCCTGCCGCAGTAGTTACCCCCTCGCTCAGCCAGATACCCCAGCATGGCCTCGGCCTCCTCCTCCTGCTTCAGCGCCTCCTGGTGGAAGAAAGAGGCGACGCGGGGGAGAGCGACGTCGTCCCGCTCAAACACACTGGCCTACAAGAAGTAAAACATTATCTTTATATTATTTATATTATATATATATTATAACAATCATTAATGTTGTGTTTTTATTTCATTCACATGATTAATGAAGTTTAAAGTGACTTTATATAATGCAGCTTTAAATAAATAAACAAAATATTAACATTTTGTTTGCTAGTAATTCAGAATTTATTTCTTTAGTACAAGAAGTTGGTAAATATTATTAAAAAAGTCTAATATTTAAAAAAAAAAAAAATATATTATATATATATATATATATATATATATATATATATATATATATATATATATATATATATATATATATATATATATATATTTTTAAAACTATCTTTTATTGATGTTTTTGATCTAAACAAAATATAAAAATAACATAATAAAAGGGGAAAAACAAACTGTAGAACCTAAAAACAGAATATAATCAAAATCACACAATATTAAAATGTTTTATTATATTTTATACTCTAACATATTCTCAGATTAGAGTTTCTATGGTTGTAAGTGATGTTAAAAGTATTCAGATCTTTGAAAAATACTCCATTACAAGTATTATAAGTTAAATGTAGTTAAAGTATGAACTATTGGGAATATTTCTACTTTATTAATGTTTATGTGTAATTTTACTGCTGTAATCTGAAAAGTAACGAGTAACTAAAGCTGTCAGACAAATGTAGTGGAGTAGAAGTATAAAGCTGCATAAATACTCGAGTAAAGTAGTTGAGTATTTAGATACTCGTCCTTGTTAAAGTCCTCTCTGTGATTATCGACCTACCAGAGCCTGCAGCCGGTACGCTCCGTCCCACAGCAGGCTGCTCACCCCGCACAGAGCCTCCTCCACGGCGGCCTGCAGGTTGTGTCTGGCCCGGCTGCCCGCGGAGCTCCGGTGCGCGGTGCACAGCGGCAGGCCGCTCTTTAACCTCTTCCCTGCGGGCTCAGCCATGATCGCCGCCCGGTCACTGATCCACTCTGAGTGCTTCTTTAGAATAAACTGCGTCTTCTTCCTCCTCCGGACCGTCAACACTGGATAAATTTAGCCCGCAAGGATCAACTGTTTCCCGGTCAGCTGCTCAAGTTCATCCGGTGCGTTTTGAGCTCCGAGCTGCAGCCAAGTTATATAACAGGATTATAATCATATGAGTGCACACAGACTGAGGTCTATGGATGGAGTCAGTGCACTTAAAGTCTTTATTTACTTCATTATATTGTTGTTTTTCATCAGAAATCAGCAGTTTTTAAACATTAGGAGTCACTTCAGATATTTATAATATATATTTTATCACAATGAGCCAATAAAGAGCTCTAAGGGATCATCTCACATCCTAATGACTCTAATCAAAAGTAACTTTTTTACACTTAGTATATTATTCTGTGGGCATTTAATTAATATATTACATCAAATATATTCAATATAATTGTGTCCTTTGATTATTTAAGTTAATATCAATTTAAGTTTGTTTTAAGATGAGTTAATAAAGTTTTTCATTCACACTTTTGTTTGTTGTTCTAAGAAAGAAGAATATTTAGATTTGAGTCCCCAAATTGAATAAAACATTTAAAATACACTAATTAATGTAGGTGATTATACTGAATTATATATAATATTTTATTTATATATATATTTATATTAACTCAATACCAAACATATTTATATTGTGTTAATAATATTGATTGTAATCTGTTGATTTAATTTCATTAAGTAGATATGATGTATCTTTTCTTACAGAGTACTTTATTTATTACCAACAGTAATTAGTTACACCACTAGTTACATTACTTTTCTGCTACTCTTCAAAAAATTGGTAATTGAGTCTTTTGTCCCCAAAGACGACGATTAAAATCTACTTTTTGGGGAGTAACTGTGATATTATTACTGAAAGTTATGAGTAATTAGTTACACTACTAGTTACTGGAGAAAGTAATACTGTAATATTATTACTAGTAATGAGTTACAGCCCAACACTGGTACTTAATTGTCAGGTTCGCTGTAGCACAGAAGCTCAGTGGTGGAGGAAGAGTAGATATTGTGCAGTAAAAAGTCTCCTCAGGTGATTATAATAAAACCATTAATATTATATTTAATTTCTGCCAATATTTCCTCCTCAATGTTAAACACTGGAGCTTTAAACACAGTAAATCTACTTTAATGTACTTAGTTACATGTACTAACAATATATAGGCCTATAGTTGAGGTCAGGGTTCAATAATCTTTGATCTTTGGGAGAAATATTTGTCCTGATCAGATCAATCAGACTCATTTTCTTCTTCCACCAATACTCAAATATTCTGATTTCTTGTGTTTTATTATTGGAAAACAACAAATTACAACGATTTATACAGGAAGTTAATCAGTAAGATACATTTCTGATACTGCGGAGGATTATTTATCAATCAATAAAGATGATTTTAGGAGCTTTTAGCTCAAATTTGATCGATTTAAAGTAGACAAGGAAATTAAATAACATTAATTTAAGAATTCTGACACAGATGTGAAAAGCAGATTATTTAATGATATTAAACCAGATTTCAAACAATTTAAATTTATATTATAATTTTGATACATTTTCTGATTCTAATATAATATTAAATGTATCGCTTCAAGAACCAATAATGACCCGATGTTCAACCAACAGTCCAGTTTAACTGATCATTGATATTGTGATATGGATCATAGGTCACCGATCAGCTGACCGTCCCTCCTGGTTCAGAGTCGACCCCCTGGTTCTTCCTCCTCTCCGGTTTCAGCTCGGATGAGTGACGCGAGGGGCTGGCTGCTCTCCAGGGGGTCAGCTGGTCCAGGAGGGAAGAAAGGCCAGTTCTCATCCTGGAGCACCTCCAGGGTCAACGGGACCCTTGACACGACCCCCCCCGGACCCCAGACACTTCAGTAATTACTGGACTGTAACAGATTACAGGCTCGCTGCAGGAGGTCGGTCCGCTTCCAACAGGTGATGCTGCACAGCCGGAGGACTGACAGAGGTCCAATTGAGGCCAGTTAGTACCAACAGAGCTCCAACAGAGGACAGATCAGTTCATTTTCTCACTGTAATCCGAGTCCGATAGAGGACTGACAGAGGCCCGACAAAGGTCCAACAAAGGACCAACAGAGGACCAACAGAGGCCCAATGGAGGATCTACAAAGGACCAACAGAGGTCCAACGGAGGACCAACAGAGGTCTAACAGAGGACCAATGAAGAACCTACAAAGAACCAACAGAGGTCCAACAGAGGCCCAATGAAGGTCCAACAGAGGTCCAACAGAGGTCCAACAGAGGACCAATGAAGACCCGACAAAGGACCGACAGTTTATTTAATAAACCCAATCTAGTCTATCAGAGGTCTGTAAGAGGTCTGGAAGCTGCAATCATCCATCTTTGTGTTGCTGCTCAGACGCTCACAGATGATCCATCCTAAGCTCAGTACGTTCAGTGTTGTATATGAAGAAGTTCAACAGTAAAATGCTGCTTATCTAATCTAATAGTGTCAGTGATCAGTCACAGGAGACATTTTACTGCAGAACTTTCTTTTTAATAAAATACACAATATCTGTAAATAATTGTATAAAGAGAACAGTCTACAGCTCTGTATGAAAAGTGTCTGTGATAACTCCTGTAAAGATTCGGTATAGCTCCAAAATAAAATAAAATTATATGCTTTTACTTTCTTAAGATTTTTAATATTTGTACTTTTACATCCATCAACTGTGGTGGAAGAAATATTCAAACAAGGGCTTCGATGTACACTGCTGCAAAAAGAAAATAATCTCAAGCTGATGTTAAATCTGTCTTCAACTCATCAAGTATCCAGTTATGTTTTTACTTTATCTGATATAAAATATATAAAACCTGGATTTAAGGATTGTTTGTGAGTTTCTACTCTTTGCTCTCCTTCGTCTTCATGGTTTGTATCTGGTCCTACAGCTGAGCTTTAAAGGACACTTTGATTCATGGTCCCGTGGAGAGCGGCCATCGTTACAACCCCCCAGTATACACAAACACAGACACACACATACATACGTTGCAGCTGTCAACAGACACTTGGAGCTCTACTCAGACGTGGTGGTGGTGTTGTTGTTGTCCAGTTGGAGTCTCTTCAGCTTCACAGAGGCACAGTTTAAAGTGGAGTTGCAGTTAATGTCAAATATTATATTTAACTCAAAGGTTCAACAGTCCACAGAAAATCTACATGGCGGACTCGTAGAAGAGGACCTGCTCCCTCTGTAGATACCAACGTCTCATTTTAAGATACAGAAAAGAGAATCATTCTTATTTCCAGGTGATTAAACACAAATGAAAACATACTTATGAATATCATATCACATTTCTGCCGATAGATCCTCCTCAATGTTTAAATCAAACACAGCACACCGGTCAAAGTGACAACAAATACAATTCATGTCTGTTTTCTTGTATAGAGCCACAATCCTCAATCAGAGCATCATCCTGTAGTTTCTTATATTGGCGCAAATGAAACAGTATTATCATCTGCATATAGTCGCATATATGAATTTATATTCATGAAAGAAACCACAGATTATGTGTTTTTATGGACAAAATTAATTTAAAAATCTGCTCATAACGTAACACATTAACACTCACAAATAGCACAACTTTGAATTGTGAATATTTTTAGATTGTGTAGTAGTGTGTTGTTACAGGACGCTGTACATAGCACAGACTATTATTTTGAAGGATGTTTCTGCATTGTCTCTGCTCTCACTATTTCTGCCATTTTTGGTCGGTAATTATTAAGTCAGGTTAATTAAAATCACACGGAATGTTTTTTTACTAACCATTTTTAGAGTCGTACTTTAATTTATTTGAAGTCAATCTGATAAAAACTGCAGGAAATCACCAAAAATGTACCAGTAAATTCAAAATGACCGACTTCCCGTTGGGTTTGAGGCTATGGCTCCAATAGGCTTTTTTGTACGTCTGGAGATGATTCATGTGTGTACCAGTTTTCATACATATATTATAAATAAACACACACACACACACACGTATATATAATTTCCAATACGTGAAGTTCTTTTTAAAGAAACCAGGTTCATCATAAAAACCTTAACAGAGCAGCAAAGAGACAAATACAGCACAGATAAACACAACAATAACGAGACAGGACTCATAAATGCTTTACTGTATGTGAGGTCAGACACACACACACACACACACACACAAAGCACTTAATAAACCTAAACTGTGCAGACTGACAGGAGAGGTGTCGGCCTTCACACCTGCTGCCTGCTGTAAACCACCAACCACCACAACGACTGCATTGTCCTGCACTGGTGGCAGATTACTTTGCACACACACACAGACACGAAACACACACACACACACACACACACACACACACAGAGAGAGAGCTGGATTAACTCACAGCAGCAGATTTACTGCAGACAGTTGTGTGGTTTTGTTGTGTTTGTGGACTCTGCTCCATAATCTGTCTGTCTCTACTGTCTACTGACTGTTTTATTAATAACAAACTCACTTTATGCCATCATTATATATTATATATTGTAATATTACTTTCAGTCGACACAATCACAGAACAAAATAAAGGTTTTCTGGCATTTTTGACTTTCCTTCTACATTTATTTAATATCATAAACTCATTTTTAAGCAACGCTGAAATTTATTTGGTGAATTCAGTTTGCTTATTTTTCAAAATTGCTCTAATTTGAATCGATTGGGAGGAAAATAAATCTATATTTTTCTACATCAGCAAATAGTTTTATTGATTAAATTTTCAGTTGGTGTTTGTCATGATTAATAACTGGAGGTTAAAGTTCTGGAAAGTCCAGGTTACTTCACGAAGGGCACGAATATAATTAAAGACGTAAATGAAAGTAAACATGCAAATGTAACAGTTTTATTTGTATTCTGATATTGATTCTGTTGTGTTGTTAGTGTCAGTGTTGTTGATGGGATGTTTAAAAACAAGAAAATGACAATAAACATATTGTTGGGGGGGGAGTTAACATTTATAAGTCCTGTTGAACTTCCTGATGGTGCTGGAGGAAAAGTCTGATGATCCTGAGGGGAACCAACTCCATCCAACAGTTGTTGAGACACTTTC